ATGTAAGTATGTAATCCCATACCCAGAAGACATGGACAAGGCCTTGAAGTTGCTGGCAAACCTCTGATAGGTTGCAGGGCCTTGGCATCTTCAGCATTAGCTTCAGGAATTTTGGTAACTTTGCAAAATGCTCCTCCAAATAGTTTGTACAACTCTAATAGCAATAGTACTTGTGATAGATAGAAGAATAGTTACTTTTTTTTTCAGTGCCATATTCTTCTAACTAAAAGATTAAAAAGAAAACAACTAGAGAAATGTACCTTCCTTTGAAGCCCTTCAAAAGCTTCCTGTGATATCTGAGTGGGCTTTGCTAGCAGATGGCAGAATGCAATGCTATTTAGACCACTGACCTGCTCCAATCTAATGATTTTTATCTGCTTGGGAATAGTTTTGCTACTTTTAAGGATATCCTGTTCTAGTGACAGAATGGGATGTGTATTCCACTAATGCTATGGAGTGTTATACACTTGACAAAACCAAACTATTTGCTGACTCAAATTATCCTTTCTCTGGCTTGCTAGGTTGATGAAGTGCTTGAGAAAGCATGTTTTCTTATCACCCTTGGTTAGTCATTAGTCATGGAGTAGCCTCTTTGAAGTCATCTTCTCTAGATAACAAACTAGAAATTTATGTGCATTGTTTTTCTTCAGGAAACTGCCACCAGCACTAATCATTCTGTAAGGCAGGCATTTCCTGTTGAGAAATACTTCTTGCACAAATTGTAAAAAATGATTGGTTTGAGATGTGCCTCTGGAAATCCCACTGAATCTTGTTACCCTATTGTATGATAATGTAGGTCACAATACTTTTTATTTTAAATTGCCAAGCAAATTGAAAAATGAATATTTAAAAAAGCAATATAGCCTACACATGCAATCCCAGAGTTACATATTACTATAAGAATAAGGCTAACATAACAGGCAATGAATGTAGAGCAGATACATTCCGCTTTGTAAACAGATTTATCTCTCCATTTTCAGTGGCCTCCCTAGAGTTAAAGATTCCAGCTAGTGCTCCCATGAATAAATACTTGGTATAAAATTTAGAAAGTTTATGATGATAGTTGTGCTTTGAAGTGAAAATGTGTTGAATCATTCAAAGAAACTACAGTAGTTTGTTCTTCAGTGCTATACATTTGGTATGTAGATAGGCTACAATTTTGGAATGTTCTCTGTTTATTTTGAGAAAATATATCCTCTAATTGATGTTAGGCATGTGTCATTGGTGGGTTAGCAAGAATTGTATCACACCTTTTGGGAAGACCATGTAATAAAACCCAGGTATTTAGAGGAAAAGCTTCATTGTTGTTATGGCATGATGGAAAGAAGTGTTCCATGAGTAAAGGAGAAAAAGAAAAAAATCCTCTTTAACCGTAAGACTGGAACAATCATTAGTGTGTTCTGGCTCATGGTTCTGTATGATCTCCGAACTAAAGAGATGGGTGACATCTTGACACAAGAATGAGTGTTAGGATGACAATATGCCCCTATATACCCTTGGAGAAAAAGTTAACAAAAACCAGAATTTCTGAAGTGTGGTGGGTAAGATTAATATATGGGAATTCCAGAATTAAGTCTGCTATAGTCATCATAATAGTTGTAAAGTAAAACAAGTTTCTTCTTTCTGTTGCCCATCTTTTCAGAGCCAGGACTCAAAGTCCTTCGTAATACATAGCTGCCTACTCTCTAAAATGAAATGAAGGCTCACAGCTCAAGGTACCTTTAGCTGGAAGGATCCTTCCATTGCCAGTCCAAAAGAATGGGGCAACTATTCCAAACCTTTCTTCTTTGTAACAGGTTTTGGTAAGGCACATGGCTACTTGAGATAGGCCTTTTTTCAAACATGGAATTATATTTGCTGCCTATGGTGTTATATTTGCAGAATCACCTGGTGACTTTTCAAAATTTTCACAGGCAATCTTTATCATAGAATGGTTTTTAGATTTTGGACCAATAATGTCTTCACTCATTTTAACCATATTTTATATTAAGTTTTATGTCTTAATAATTTGGTAAAGTGACCAGAAAACCTGCTTCTTAGGGCACTATATACTGTACATTTTAAAAAATACTTACATATTTTCTAATGAGAATGTTAACTAATGTCTTCAAACAGACTTCTTGTCTACTGGATAGACTGCCAGATTTTCAATGCTCAGTAGAGAAGAGAGTGTTATGGTAGAAGTTAAAGGGCATTAGCCTCAGAGTGAATTTAATTGTGCATTTATAACATATCTATGCATACCCACACAAAAGCGGTTTTCTCAGAGTCAAAACTGCTTACTCCTGTGCAACCCAGAATCACAGCTAAAAGATTCACTAAATTATAGAGTACTCTCAAATCTGAGTTTGAGAACTTGGAGCGTAAATAGAGGAAGAATAACAAATTGTCAGATACCTTCTTTGCCAAGAGAAGGCTGCCACAAATCAGTTCCCTACCTTCCTATTCCATTTTTCCCCAACAGTTTCTATTCCCTGCTTTGGATTTTTGAAAACTTATTCCTGTCCTGACAAGATTAGCCTTGGTACCTTGGCAAGCTTCACAGCAGACCACCTTGCTTTTGAAGAAGCCAGCCACAGCAGCTGGCAAAATGTCAGGAAATCTGTTGTCTAGACCACAGTCACTAAACCCTGAAGCCCAACATTGTCCTTCACATAAGGTCATTATATAGGAGATAGTCAGAGGTGAAGTACTGTCCAAGTTTTTGTTTATAATTCACGTTTCTGAAGCCATCCATTTTCTTAATAGTTGTGGGCAGCGTACGAATTGAAAACCAAAGAAATAGAACATCAGAAAACAGAAGGGGAAGATAGTTAACCCAGTGGAACTGACATAAGAACCTCTCACAAAGGATTCATAGTCCACCCTAGCCCAAGCCTGGAGAAAGAGCCACGTTTCAAGGCACATTTTAAAAAGAGCGAGGTTGGGACTGTTCGAATCTCAGGGGAAATACTCTTCCAGTGAGTAGACACTATAACAGAGAAGGCATGATTCCAGGGTCCCATCAGATGATATTATTTAATGGAGGGAACCTGGAGCATGCCCACTCTGTCTGATCTTACAGGATGGGCAGAAATCATAGGAGAGAGAAGGTTCCTCAAATAACTAGGCTCTATACCATATAGAGCTTTGTTGGTGATAACCAGCACTTGAATTATACTTACAAGCCAACCAGTAACCAGTAACCTGTGCAGTTTGTGAAGCAAAGGTGTTACATGGGCATTCCAAATCCAACATAAATGTCTAGATAATTCACTTCCTCTAGGTCCCTCTGAAGTTGTAGCCTGGCCATTTTCTCAACAACCTTCCCCAGAAAGCGATTGGAGACTGGGTGAAAGTTGTCCAAGACTGTTGTGTTCTGCAGTGGTTTCCTGAGAAGAGGTCACACCATTGCCTCCTTCAAGGCAGCCTAAACCACTCCTTCCCTCAAAGAGTAAGTCAACAGTGCATGGACCCAATACATGTCTTTTTCTACCTTCAGTAATAAAGAAGAACATGGATTTAACAAACAGGTAGTCAGATTAACAGATCCAAGGATCCTGTCCACTTCCGCAGGAGTTACAGGATCAAACTATTCCCAGATAACCGCACAAGACCGTACCTACCTTCACCTTGACTGGACCTACCCACTCCAAGTCCAACTCAAAGTGGTTGGGATTTTATCTGTCAGATGCTAAAAATATTCTTTGGAGAGGCCCTGTATGTCTTCTTGCAGCTCTTTTCTCATTAGCAGGGAACAGGTCACATTAAAAAGGACCACTGGCCAGGTCTCTGCAGATGTGATAAGAGGGAAAAATAGGTATGTTTTGCTACTCTTGTTGCTACAATGGAATATCTAATGTACACAATGCTCATTTAAATATTTGGCATCCTGCCTATACACTACAAGCTCAAATATGTGACAGAAGCGTGGCTGGCATGTTTAAAGTTCATGTTTGTTTGTTCTCAGTTCTCCTTCTCAGTCTATAATTGCACATCTTTTTTAAGTGAACTGAAAATATTTCAGTTTTTCTGAAGAACTTGTTTTTCTTCATCATAGAAGGTTATGGAATAGCCCAACTGGATTTGATTTTGGTATATAATTTGCATATGATTTCTTACAGCTCTGAGCTAAGAGAGATTTCTTCACACTTCTAAATTAAGAAAAGTGTTCAGATTATGGTCATTTGTTGTTATTTTATTACCATGGTGATCTGAAGCTCTGACACAACAAAGTCCAGTACAATCTTAGTAGTTAAGCTACCCAGGATTACAGCTTCAGTTTTTATAAGTCCAGCTTGTCTTGATGTAACCTATATATTATGTATTCATAATTACAAAAGCTTCCCTCTAACACAGAATCTGGTTAAAGAAGAGAATCTTTAGTGCTAGACAATCCCTTAATTAAAGATTTAACCCCCTAATTGTGGCTAAATTCTTTAGTTTTAAATGTGGCAGAGAATCAGAGCTAAACGCAAAATCTAACTGTATGCATGCATCACCCTAACAAAGCTTTGGTGCGTTTAATTTGGTTTTTTAAATGATTAAGCTGAGTTTCACCCTTTCTTTTCTTTTTTCTATTTGTAAACATGAGAACCTAAGGGTTCATGCTCACATCCACAGAACAAACATATTCTGACCATTTTTAAATATGTCCTTATGGGTTTAATTCCCAGCCAAAAGTAGAGACAACCTAAAGTCACCTTTAGGTGTCCTACTTTAAAGTAATGTTTTCCCTCTTCTTCCAATAGCATTTTTGCTATAGATATAGTCTGGCATTCTTCACTGATGATGTGGTTGCTGACACAGCTGGGGTGGGATCTCCTTAGCTCCTTAAAGGTATTGGGGCATCTTCCTCACTGCTGGTGGCTAGGAACTGCACTCTGTAACCATTTTGATTTAGGCTTCCAGGAACATCTAGCTTCTGCAGAGGCATCTGCTTCTGTAATATATGACTGCCTCTTTCTGAAGTACAGTTCTAATCCAAGCTCCTTATAAATATGGACTTTGTACTCTTTCAGGAGTGTCCAAACTGTGTTTAAAAAGGACTGTTGCTCTTGTGTGAGAACCTAGTCCTATGCTGCCCAGAAGATTGATTTTAAACCAGGAAAGAGAAGTAAGTTTCTGACAGTTTAGTGTTACTGATTTTGTTACTGATTACTGCATTGCAAGTTTTAATGGGGCTCCATTTTTTTATTAATCAATTCCTCCATTCCTGTGATCTGCCCAGTGGGCTATTTTTAGACACAGGTTTAGCACTCTTTCAAAAGAGTACTAGCCTACATTTAAAAATAGGCCAGCTGACTAGTCACAGGTGTGGAGTACATCTTTGTGTGCATCCTCCTGGTAAAGCAACTTGACAGGTGGCTAAACCCACCATTCAAAGCATCCACCTAAAGTCACCCAGTCCTGCCTCACTTTATGTTAAGGAGAGGGATTGGGGGTTGTGTTTTTGCTGGCAGGTGACACTTAGTGGGAGGTGAAATGAAGTCATGGAAATCCATCAGTCCCTTTCCTAATCGTGTCCCATTTTGAAATAGTAAGAACAGCACCAGTTAGCCCACAGAAGAAAAGGCTAAAGGGAGACATGATCAATGCTTGAAGTACTGTCACAGGGTAGAGGATGTAGATTTATTCTCTGTAGTGTGTGAGGGTAGCAGAAGAGCCAATGTGTGGAAGCTTTACAAAGAGAGATCCAAACTCAAAATAAGGAGGAATTTCCTGACCCAGAGAGCTATTAACTAGTGGGATAGCCTGCATCCTGGAGTCATCCAATGTGCCATCATTGGAGGTTTTCAAACAAGGCTTGGATGGCCATTCATCTGGGATGGTTTGAAGATTGCTGCCCTGGGACTAGAAGATCTTCAAGGCACCTTCCAATCCTAGGATTCTGTGATACTATGCTTGTACTGAACATTAGGTGTTTTCTGCAGGATCAGATGAACTCTCTTTTCTAGAATGTACCTAGTAATTTGTCTGGCCATAGCCATATATAGCCCCTCAATAGCAGCCCTACTCCTAGTCATTTTTCTCTTTGGACAGATTACTGGCTTCTCACTACTTTTGGTACTAGGAAAGCTGGCATAAGCATCTGGCTTACGCTTAAAGCCCATGTAGTAATGCAGGCAAAAGCCAGAGTGTTTTTTTTTTCCCTTTCCCATATTTTACCATGGAAATTGCACCAATAAAAACATAATAATTATTCATACATATTCCTTTTTCCATAGGAACAGCATATATTTCAGCAATCAAATAGAAATTTATTCCAAAATATGCAAGTTTGAGTGACTCTTTTTGCTGCATGCTTAATTGTATGCCAGTAGAATTCTCTTTAAAATTTCTGTAACAAGTTTTAGAAAACACCACCACATTCCATAACTTTCAAATGTTATCTGGAATAATTGGAGGAATATTTATTTTCAGCAGCATGAATTTTATGTTTGAATTTTGAGAAAACAGCCTAAATCCAGTAAATATCTAATTTAAATACAATTTTAAAAGACATCATTGTCATCTCCAATCCCTGTCTGGAGAGACTTGCTATCACAACATCTTAAAGATCAGGAATATTTTTTTCCCCTGCTTTTAATGAGTGTTGATGCACATTATAGGTTGTGGCGGGCTTCTTTTTAGAAGCTCAGGAAAAGGCATAGGGAACAAAGAAACATTTCCCTCCATGTTACTATAGTATCCCTGTCTTGAAGCTTTTGTCATTCTGGCATGAGAAAAGAAATGAACATATTCTCATAGCTCTTCAGTATTTCAGTGCTATAGCATTTACTATTTTGTTTTATTTATTAGAATTTTAAACTACTCAAGTTCTCTGGATGGTATACAATCCAGTCAATATATACAGTGGGGCAAAAAAGTATTTAATCAGCCACCAATTGTGCAAGTTCCCCCACTTAAAAAGATGAGAGAGGCCTGTAATTTTCAT